TGTGTGTGTGTGTGTGTGTGTGTGTGCTTGCTTTGTTAAAGCCCCTCCTTGCTTCTTTCATCTTTCCCTTCCCATGTATCTGCCTCCCCTGTATTTTTGCATGAGCTCTTTCCAGCTTCTAGAAGACTAGTTAGTATTTGTATACACTATATTTAAAAAATTTAAAACGTAAGGAATGGTGATTCCATAAGCAGCATCTACAAAGAGGTTTCTCAATTTATTCTTTGCCTGTACCATACCAAATGGAATCCAGTCTGGTAGTTCCCTTGAGGTTTATGATAAAATCTCAAGGTAATGCTTCACTCCCATATCTTTCAATGAACATGCTGAAATATAAAACTGGGTATAAACTAATAAAATATAAAAAATAAATTTAAAAAATGGGTACAATCTTTGAGGTCATTTCCGGCCTTCGGGTCTATGATTCTAAGTGGGTATAATAACACCCATAAACCAGAAGCTTTTATTTTTTTTAAAGATTTTATTTATTCATTTGACAGAGAGAGACACAGCAAGAGAGGGAACACAAGCAGGGGGAGTGGGAGAGGGAAAAGCCTTCCTGCTGAGCAGGGAGCCCGATGAGGGGCTTGATCCCAGGACCCTGGGACCATGACCTGAGCCGAAGGCAGATGCTTAACCGACTGAGTCACCCAGGGGTCCCCCATAAGTATTTTTTGAATGAATATTTTGTATCTAATAATTTTAATAGTTTTAATTAATGAAATTAATTTTTTCTCATGCAGATCTTTACTCATGGTGGCTTGAATCCTTCTGTGTTTAGTAATTTATAATTGTAAGAAGATTGGTAGTGATTTTCCAGACACGTAGGGCGCTGTTGGTAAAAATGGAGAGGTGGGGTTAGGTTTGAGGTCTGTTAGGAAACAGAAATTAGTGACTCACTGAAGAAACTGAACAACAGCAACATAGTGTTAAAAGTACCCAATGTGAGATACAAGGTGAAAGGTGCTAACCCCTCCAGGCTGAACAGAGCCTCCCCTCACCACAAAATGTTCAATAGTGTTCTAGATTGTTTGGTTTTGATTTTAACATCCTAATGAAGGCCTAATGAAGCAAGAATACCTCTACCTCATCACTTTGGGTCTCATTATAAGGTGAAGACTCTCCAGTTGTCCGAATGTGTGAAATCAAATATTACCACCTGACACCAGCTATTGTGAAAAGTTTTACATAAAATGAGATGAATAGCTCCTTTTGCCCTTCCCTCTGTCTCATTCTCAGAGAATCTGATATCTTGTAAAAGACACTCAAGCCTATAAAGTGCGAACATAATTTCCAGGATAAGAGCTCGCGTTGACTTTTTAAAACTGTTGAAGAAAGCTTGCATCGATACTAGTTTGGTAACTGAGAATGAATGTCCGATGTTTAGGAAGAGCCTCCTCTGGCCATGTTGGCCTTGGAGAAGATAAGGAAGAGGGAGTGGTGTCCTTAGCCACAGCTTAAGTACAGGTAGCTGGGACTGCTGCATAAATTGAGTAGGCACGTGACCATTTAATACTTGGTGAGCATCGGCTCTGTGTGAGGGGCTGAGAAGGCCATGCTGAATTCGGTAGGGCCACTACTATCCCTAAGAGGTTTACAAGGGGAAAGAAACAAATGATTTCAATTCTGTTTGATGAGTGATGACAGTTAACATTTACTGATTATTTAATGTATGCCAGGGACCACGCTAGATTGATTTACACTCATCATATTTAATCCACAAACAACTAAGCATGGGGTGGGGTGAGCGGATTAGGAGGGCTTCTTGGAGCACTGAGTAAGGTCCTCTAGTGTGGTGCTGATGTGGTTTTTAAGGAGTGTTTTGTAGGACAGAAGAGTTGATTATATGTAGCTCACTTAACAACACATACTGGGCGACTACCATATACCTTGTGCTGTTTTCAGTGTTGGGCATAACCCAGGTTGTGGTGCCTGCCCTAATGGAGCTGGAAATCTACTGAGGAGGACAGATGGTGGACAGATGGACATATGATGCCTGCCAGGGATGCTCAGTGCTATGAAGAATAAAGCAGGGCCCAGGGATAGTACTCGTGGAGAGGCTGGTTCAGGTAGGGAGGCTGGGGACTTCTCCCTGAGGAGTTTATTCAAATAGTTCTGGGCAGATAGATGAGTTTTTTTCTTGAGTAGGATATGAAGATACTCCTTGACATAATAACCCAAATCTTGTGCCCATGAGAAATCCCTGAGGTAAAAAATTATAAAGATAGAAAGGAGGCATATTTCAGCTCAAGTTCCTGTGGTAAATTCCACTCTGGGTTGACAAAGTGACCTGCAGTGTAGACTGAGGCTAGGGGCCACCCAGAAATCAGAGTGCTCTTTCGCCAACCACTTTTAGGGGAACAGTCCTATATCAGAGCCTCGGGCCTGGAGAGGAGACTGGGGAAAAGCCTGCCTTTTCTTGATCGCCTGTTCTCAGCCATCTCCTTCTGGCTTGTCTCCAACAGTTTTGATATGTTGGCAGGTCTTTGATTAGATTCTGAATGTCTGGGCAACTCAGAATGCTCATTTGTGAAATGAAGATAACACACTCCTATCTGTTTTCTCAATAGGTTATGAAAATAAAGACAAAATGATCTCTGAAAGTTCTGGCAGCTAAAGATGTCATAAAAATATAATGCATTATTAGAACAATTATTACTATTAATGATGAAAATGACATGTATTATGTAGGCATTTATATCTGTTTACTCCAAGGAGACATAGGTCTTTGTAGCATATAGAAAAATTTGATACTGTACATGTTTTGGAACCTAAAGCAGGGTAAAAACAGTTATGTATAATCAAAAGAAATAGCTACAACAAAACATAATAATATATCATGTACTCACAAATAATTTTTCAAAAGAAATAGCTAGAACTAAGCATCATCATATATAGCGTGCTTAAAAGCAATTTTAAAAGAAACTGAGTGACTTGGGGATTGTGGTATATGGCTTTGAAATGTTTTATTTTTCCTGGCATCTTTTGGGTTGAAACAGAAAGACTGTAACCTTCCAGAAGGGGGCAACCCAGAGGAGAAGGATGAAAAGTTGGAGTGTATATTTAACCCTGTAACCCACATGGAATAAAAACTATGGCATAATTTCACACATTTTTTCAGAGGTTTCCCCAAACCTGTTTTTGATTCTTTTCCAATGTATTCTCTCATAATTATTTTTAAGTTTAGATTTCATGTTTCCATTACCTATTGCCAACAACCAATCTAAATTTACTTACTGATAAAAGATGTTTCTTCAAGATAACCTCTGCGTGTGAGGGTCACTTCTAAGAACGTGGAGTCTTCATCCACAATGTAGTACTCTTTCTCCAAAGAAATCCAAGCCCAGTTCAGATGGAAAGGCTGATGTGTTAGCTTATTTCCTTCTGCAATTGATAGGGATAAAGGAGATAATGGATGAAAGTTGAATCATACGGAAAAATCATTCATCTAATGCAGGGTTTGCATTTTGCTTCTAAAGCCAAGGGTTTCAAAATATATGCTCCTTTTTAATATAGAGAGAAGTGCTTTGCTTTTCTAGAGAGTGTCATGAGCACTATTCCCCCTGCTTAATGTGGGATTATTCATATGGGTCTATTCCTAAAAGGCCTTATGCACTAGAGTTGCAAAGAGTCAGCTTGGTAGTTTTAAATTCCACTCATATTCAATACTTCCATCCTTTGCTCACTGCTTCCTTTGTTTGCCTCCTCTCTCCCTGCCTCCTTCCCTCCTTTTCTTCCTCTGCCCTCTGATCTACTCCTTTGTATTGTTCATGTATCCATTTGCTTTCACAACAGACTAGAGTTTCCTTAAAGACAGTGCCCACATTATATTTCCTTATTTTATCACTGTGAGGATCTGGTATGGTGTCTTGAACTCAGATTCTTAATATTTAAAAACTGTCCGAGGGGAGTGCAAGAGACAAGGATATAAGGCTCTCTCTGATTTGCTCTTGTCCACACTAGGTCACAGGCCTCTTTGATGATGGTCAATCTAGCCCCGTACTGGTGCTGTGCAATGTGTGTGGATTGGAAGAAAGAACAGGTCTCCCTCAACTGGGGAGCAGTCGTGACAAATAATCACTTGTAAAAGGATGTTGAAACAGGACTCTCTATGACTCAGTTTCAACTGATGCACCAGTATAATAGATATCAGATACCAAAGTGAGTGTGGGCAGACTGCCATATGCAAAGTTCACAACAGAAAGCTTTACTAACCAGTTCCATAACTACTGAAACCCTAAATCAGATGAAGCATATAAAAAAAGGGCAACACATAGATAAGAAAGGAGGATTTGTGAAGAGAGTACTTTAGAAAAAGCTGGTGGGAATCTCTACCACCGCCCCAAGATGAGTGTGGGCATGGAGTAGGGCTGCAGTTTTCACCTCCAGCCTAGAGGGTGTGGGCTTCATGAAACTTGTGGAAAGTTGACATGTCCTTTTGTAATTGTAGGTCCATGTGACGAATGCATTCTCCAAAGTTTACATAGGCTTGGCAGGGTGGGGAGATTGGAGGGGCCTGCATTTGGGAAGTAATTAAGTATCCACAAAGAGTGGGACAAAGAAAGCACACATGTGGCTCCGAGGTGGGTCATCTGTCCAACAGGCCCTGTTGAGGAGGCGGTGGGATCTCAGCAGAAGGAGGCTGGAAGCTGACCACCACATTTCTATCATCAACCGTAGAAACAGTAAAAGACAGGGAGCTACAGATTCCAGAGTCAGGAATCTTTAAGGAACTCATGAAAACACCAACCAAAGAGAGAGTCACTGTTAATAGCTGTCATCCAGTGTCCCCAGCATGAGATGACCATACTTCCCTTACCAGACTGTGCTCTGTCCCCCATCCCCTCTCTCCCTGGGGCCAACCCAAGGATCCAAAGCTTGCTAGGCAGCTAGGGGAACCACGAGCATGGAGAGCGCAGACACTGGCCTCTACCCTCCCCCACTGGCGCAGGTTCCGGCTAAGAGCTGCAGAGAAGACTTAACGCAGAACAAGTCCTGAGACGTAATTCCTGCTGGGGGCTGTGAATTCTAATGACCAGACTGACACAGCTTTTGATTTAAAATGACGGTAAGATGTTTTTATCTGAGAGTGATTAGAAAAGTTGTGTGACCTGCCCAAGTTTCCATTGTAGGAGGAGGGGAAGAACGTCGGGCCTCCCAACACCACCACTGAATAGTAAAAGGACAGACAGCTAAAATTATAATTTGATTATACCACAAGTCATGCTCATTTGGCATCCCGGGAACTCACTGAGCTTTAACTGCTGGGTAAATGCACCTGCTGGATTTCATGTTTATTCTCCATCTGTCGTCTCTCTCTCTTTAGAGATAACATTATTGGATATTATTGTGGGTATTCCAATAAATACAGAAAAATGTAAGACAAATATACCAGAAATCCTTTCGTGTTATTAAAAAATATGATCTTGGTCTTTCTAGTTTGGAACCATTTTAATTCTTCCAGTACGCAGTTTTTTGGATTTTGAAATCATGAGTCAAAATAATAGTTTATGTTTACTTATTCTTTTCCAAAGTTCTCTCATGTAATCTTTATTTTATTCTGACAACCACACTACAGAGTAGGACAAATATTAGTCTCATTGTATATCTAAAGCAAACAGTTTCAGGCCAGTGAAGTGACTTGGCCAGGTCATTGCAGGGTAGTGGCAAGGTCCTATCTTGTCTGGACTGCAGACTTCTAGTTCTGTGTTCTGTTTTTGACTCTGAACTGCCACTCCTATGATCAATGCTCCTGGATCAATGCAACCCAAATACCTCAAAAGGGGACTGGGCAAAATCTATTGCAAACAAGAAGACCCTTTGAGTCAACACATGTTATGTTAAAAAAGGATCAACAATTAGAGACAAAACCATTTTCACAGCCCAAATATATATGATACGGATTTCTCAAAAAAGTGGGCCATAGTATTGAAAATCTTTAGTCCCGAGCAGCTCCCCTAAGTCTCTGCCCCTAGAGCCCTACGGTTTCTTGTTAAGCCTTCTCTCGCGGTGTTTGCTTCATTCTGTGTCCTCTGAAGACCAGCTGGCTTTCTCCACTTGTCCATGCATGTGGCCCCGCTCATCTTGAGTTTGCTTATCTTTCTATCACATGACCAGCAGAGAGGGATCCGCGTCTTGGCCTCTCAGTGGCCGAGTGTGGGTCTGGTTAGCTATGGTGTTGTTAGCTGTGGCTTTGCTGATTGAGGAGGAAGGCAGTTCTCAGAGAAGAGGGCTCACAGATCTAGAGATTTAAATGGTATTTATCTTTAATATTAGGACGCAAAAACGAGGTGAAAATAGTAGAGGGCCCCTTTTACATTCTCATCTCCAGTAAATTTTCTCTACTCAGATTCCTAAAATAAAATGTGCAGATAGTCCAAGGAAACAGTGAGGTGGCATAGAGATAGCAGGGACTTTAGTCTGCTACTAATTAGCGACGTGGACTTGAAAAAGTTACCGAGTACCGTTGAGTTTTAGATTCCTGGACTGTTAAAATGAGCACAATAACAACAACAATAACAAGGGCGGGAATACTATCTTCATCACTGAATTGTAAGGATTACCCTGGAGAGTGAAGATGGCAATGAGTGGCACGATGCCTGGCACACAGTAGGCTCTCAAGATACGGGTCACGTGAAGCTTATATTGACATCGATGCACACATTTTAATGGAGAGACAGGAGAAAATAAGCACAAATCAGTATTTCTTAATGCGTGAATCAATTAGGTACATACAGAGGACCATTCACTTGCTCATTTATACCTCCTATAAATAATGACTTCATGGGCGCCTGGGTGGCTCAGTTGGGTAAGCATCCAGCTCTTGATTTCGGCTCAGGTCATGATCTCAGGGTGGTGAGATTGAGCCCCGCATCAGGCTCTGTGCTGAGCGTGGAGCCTGTTTAAGATTCTCTCTCTCCAGAGGCGCCTGGGTGGCTCAGTTGGTTAAGCGACTGCCTTCGGCTCAGGTCATGATCCTGGAGTCCCAGGATCGAGTCCCGCGTCGGGCTCCCTGCTCGGCGGGGAGTCCGCTTCTCCCTCTGACCCTCCCCCCTCTCATGCTCGCTCTATCTCATTCTTTCTCTCAAATAAATAAATAAAATCTTTAAAAAAAAAAATAATGACTTCAAATTCCAGCCAGTCAGCAGACACAGTGTGAAGCACTGTGCTAAGTGTTGTGAATCAAAAGAAACGCAAGTGATAAAGTTAATTTGAATATCAGGACCCACACCATGGAGGCCCCCAGTGGCCCAGTCCACGTCACAAATCTAAACCTGAGTCAGCCTGCACTTACCCAAAACACCTGTCAAGGAAACCCAACATACACCAATCACAAGCCTTCGACTCACCTTTAGCTAGTTTACCTTACTCTAGAAAACAGAACCTGCTCAAGTCTTATAAGGAAGTCTCCAACCTCCTAGCCAATCATACTCTGTTTCTGAGTTGTCTCTTCTAATGCTCTGTGAGACTTGCTCTTGCCCCAAATCCCTCGGGAATAGTGCTCGGCTGCTGGTGAAGCCCTGTCTCCCCAGTCCATGAATTGCTTTCCCTTGAATAAACAATATCAAACTGGTTGCTCAATTGTATTATTTTTGTCACTTGACACAAGGTATAATTTCTTCAGAGAGGATGTGAACAGATTTCATGAGGCAGTGAGGGCTTAAGCACTGGGCAGTGATAGTGGAGAGGAAAAGGATGGTTGAGGGAGAAATAAGGGAGAATTGACAGGTTTGGGGGACAAGAAACCAGCACGTGGGAGGCAGGCCATCAGAGATGATTCAGAGCTCAAATCGGGCGGCTGGAAGAATTGCATAGTGTGAGCTGATAGAAGTCAGGAGGGGAAGACAGCTTGCAAGTTTAATTTCAGATTTGGCTTTGAGGATGGTAAGAAGTCCAAGGGAAAAGGCCATCGGCTCCTTAGAAATGTGGATATATGGGGAAAAAGGTCTGGGGGAGGGACAAAGGCAAGAAATGTATATTTGGGGGTACTGTGATACAGAAAATTTCTGAAAGGGCGTTTTAAAGTCCAATTTTTCAAAGTGTAACAATAGAGAGCTAAATACATATTATACAATCTTTGCATTTTGTCAGGCACTGCCTCTCAAAGGATCCATGCAATGGTGGAGGTGGATAAGAACACTTTTAGTAGTAGGATCCCAGCTGAGCACCTGACAGCAGACGTCCTGGGGGCCCTGAAGAAGCTGATTCAGGCCTTGCCCTTCTCTGCCCTCAGACCTGTTGGTCCCTGGACTTTGAAAGTCCAAGCCAGGGTGACGTGAGGAAAGGACTTGGTCTCTACCAGCCACCTTGCCTCTGTGTGCGTGGCTCTGATTTAGCCTCCTGGGGTGTTTGGCTCTGCACCATCCATTGCTGGGGAAGGGGTTGGAGGTAGAGGGGAGAAGGGAATGCAATATGAGAAAGAGGAGGCGCTTGGAACGGCCAGGGGACCCCTGCTAAGCTGGAGGCCCCACAATGTGTGAGGGTCGTTTCAGGGCCCTCGGCTTTTGAAGTCAGGAAGTTCTGATGGGGGAGAAGGGGTGGGGGCGTGACTGGGGGCCCTCCCGGTGGAGGCCAGAGACATGGTTGCCTAGGCTTTAGCTCTGCCCTCACAGGCTTCCATTGGGGCACTCTGCACAGGGGCAGCTCCTTCTCCCGGACCCAGAAGCAGGCAGCGGGCCAGCTGATTAACGATTACTTTCCAGGTAATGGGAGATGGTTTAATGTATAGTGAATAAGAGTGCAGAGTCTGGATTCCAATTTATGTAAGACCTTGCGTAGACAAAGTTCTGTACTTCAATGAGGAAATAACTATAAACAAAGAGGACCAAGAACTAAACTCTGGGGACAGTTGCATTTGGGAGCCAGTGAAGGAAAATAAGCAACAGAATGGAAAATAAGAAGCCTGTGTTTTATCACAGTGTGGAAGTCTGATAGAAAACTATCACCTAGAAGGAAAAAAGAACAGTTTCAAGCAGAACTATAATCTTCTTATCCAAGGATGATACCTCTTTATTTGCTATATCAAGCTGTCATAGCTACATATCTAGTTATACCTTAGGGAGGCATTTTTCAACCTCAGTACTACTGGCATTTAGGCTGGAGAAGTCTTTGTTGTGAGAGGTCGTCCTGTGGATCGTAGGATGTTCAGCAGCATCCTTGACCTCTACCTACTAGATGCCAACAGCAGTCCCTCACCCACCCCTGTCCTCCACCTGTAACAATAACAAAAATAAAAAAAATTTTGCCACATGTCCCCGAAGGAGAAAAGTAACCTCTCATTCAGAACCACTGGTGTAAAGGATTTTACTGCATCTCTGATAAAAGTCTTCCTGTGTTTCATACTCGTGTTTTAGGAGAATGACAAAAGAAACATTTTAGATTTGAATTTGGCATTGATAGTCAAACATTCCTTATTGGCTTTGGAACGTAGCCTGATCTAAGTCAATAAACTATTTTTCCTGTTGGAAAATCAGACTTTAAAGTTGGGGACAAGAGCTATATCCGTGGGATCTGGTTTCCCATCACACTTTTCCTGGGCAGCTGTAGCAGAGGAAGCAAAAGGTCGTCAGGTTTAGGAGGGAAGACTGGAGGCTGCCCTCCCACGCGTGATCTCTATGCCCTAGGCAAGTGCCTCCATCCCCGTTCCCTCACCTGTAAACGGAGGTAAAGATAGGCACACAGGAGGCACCGGATGGGTAGAGAAGTGTGGGTGTGTCGTTTTGATGGTTTGCACTATTATGATTAAGTTCCCTTTGTTACTTCGTACGTCAGGAGAATGAATTGTTCAGAAAAGAACTATGTAGAACAAAATTAATGTTCTAAATAGAACCTATAAGCTCATAATGGGGGGATGGAGGATGGGGGGTAAAGAGGGACCAACATGCACCAAGTGCCTGGTATGTGCCGAGCGCTGGGCTAGGAAGTGTGCAATAGGCCAAGGAAAAAGAAAAAGAAAAAGAAGAGACAAACGAGATGAAGCAGACGGGAGTCGGCGAACAGGAACTGACGGCACCTGTCTGGACAATGGAAAGATCTGAGTGCATGGTGAGGGGAAGGGAAGTAGAAAGGCGAATTTTGGAATAGGAATGGCTTAGAAAGCAACTATGGAAATAATAATGGAGAAAAATACCCAACTGCAGAATTTCTAACTTCTTGAATTGAAGAGCTTATAATGCATTTACATTTTCACAATTATATCCTGTTGGGTTAAAAAAAAAAAAAAGGAAAAATACACTAAGAATTTATCCAAATACTATATTTGGGAAGAGTTAATTTTGATATAACTTATTTACCAATTATAGTTTCTGATACAATCTCTTCTTTTAAAAATGCAATAATTTAAAAAATAAAAAAAAACCCTTAAAAAGAAAAAGAGATTACATATCGCTAAGGCACAATTTTGAAAATACACCTAATAAATGCTGACTCTCGTGCTTGCTTCGGCAACACATATGCTAACATTGGAACAATACAGTGAAGATTGGCATGGTCCTTGCTCAAGAATGACACACAAATTCATGAAGGATTCCGTATTTAAAAAAATAATGAAAAAATAAATGCTGACTCTCAAATGAGTAAAATAAAGTACTAAATGATAAGGTAGCTGCTATTGTCAAATGTTAATGGCTTATGGCCTTGAACTTCAAAAAAATATTTAATTGATTAGGATATTTGATCTCAAATGTTTAATAATTACCCAAAGAAAATCTAATATTATACTTATGTTTTTTAATACTCCATGACATTTTCAAATAGCTTCTTCATCATAAGCATTTAGGTTCTTCAGCTACCAACTTTAAACTGTATCTGAATTCCTTATGCACCTCCTCATCATAATACTTGTACTGTCAATTGTCACATAGTGTCAGTTAATATCATTTGTCTTTGGAAAATGCTTCACAGTGCCTCATTGTGATGAAATGTGATGAAATTGTGGCTTGCTGTGTACAGCTAAACTGCACGTCTACAGGACATGAATATAATAAATATAATGTATTCTCCCCCAGGAGAGTTATAATTTCAGGGAAAAGAAAGGAACTTGAAATAGAAGAATTAGCAAAATTAGGTAAGAGAAAAAGTCAAATTGCATGTCCGACAGATCTCCATTTTCTTCCCCTAGCTGTCTCCAGTGCTCCTGGAGCTGTGGGTAGCAATTTGAAAAATGTGCTTTGCTGGGTGAGATACGCTACATCCCCCTTCCTGCACGAGGATATTATTCCACTCCCATTTCTTTTGCATAATTCACGTCTCTTCAGTAATTCCACAGGCCTGCCTGATTCTCCCTTCGGTGCTTCAGGGTGCAACCACCCACGACCCAAAGCGGGGAAGGAGAGGTGGCCTCCTCTAGGCGTCTCCAAGACACAGGTGCACGTCCATTCTCTTCTTAAGGAACAATAGCTATCATAGATTGTTTTGTGCAACCGCACAGCAGGTTTTTCAGAAATGGGGGGAGAACGAAAGAAGAGCACACAGATGAGACATTTGCAGTCATTTCTCTCCTTGTGTCCTTCTAAGCTACAGCAATGTTACCTCCCAGACCGTGTTTCTATATCTACTTCTGCAATCTTTGGAAATGTCAGGGCAGGTGGGTGGGTGAGGCAGCGAGGGGGGAGGTGGTGGTGGCAGGTGCAATGCAGTTTGAAAGAGGTGTTTGGTATAATCTTTTTGGAGATGTCCCCAAACTGTCTTGATGATGTATCTGGCTCTCCATTTTGAAGAATAGAAACCCAACATGTTACTGCTATGTTTAACAATACAAGGTTTCCGTGCCCTTTTTCGCCTTCCTAAAATAAGAGTTCTTCAATATTAGCACAGTGGAAGCAGTGGGAAAAAAATAAAGACCAGAAGCTTTTTATTTTTTAAAAGATTTTATTTATTCATTTGACAGAGAGAGAGACAGCGAGAGAGGGAACACAAGCAGGGGGAGTGGGAGAGGGAGAAGCAGGCTTCCCACTGAGCAGACAGCCCGACGTGGGGCTCGATCCCAGGACCCCGGGATCATGACCTGAGCCGAAGGCAGACGCTTAACGACTGAGCCACCCAGGCGCCCCAAGACCAGAAGCTTTTTAAAGATTCTTTTGCATGCTTAATAGGGGTACCACATCCTGCTTTTGACACAACACAAAACTACCCAAAGTACTCTCAAAGCAAGATTTTAGAGAATTAAAAAAGGATAAGACTGTATTAGCAGAAGGTTCCAACTACCAGGAAAGTAAAAATATACCGAGTATATGATCACATGCAATGGCCATTTCTCTTTGGGATTTGGGGCTCCACATGGCTTAACTGGAAGGGAGAAAATTGTACCTTCTTCATTCTCAAGACCGTATGGGATTCAAGGAGGATGCTGAAGCAAACTCTTCCTTCCAGAGAATGTCATGTCATATCATGCAATGCAATATATATATAGCAAATTCCTCTTTGGGCATCAGAATAATCTTGCTCATTTTTGGATACAATCTAGATAGAGCCAGAGAAAGCAACTGGGTCCTTGTCAGAACCTTCTTATTCTTCTCTCCCATGAGGGCTAGAATTAGAACCCTGCTGAGTTCCTTCCAGGTTTAACATTCCATAATGCTTTCTGCCCCCCTTGGCAGGTGGCACTGTCACACCAATAAAGAAAACATATACACTTATTATGTCCCAGTTTGGAAAAAGAACATTACTCAACATAAGTTGGCATACAAACTTGATAAATTCGATGTGAACTTTAAGCTCTCAGGAGGCCTACATCTATGTGAGGAGGATGAGTTCTCAGGAAGGCACACAAACTGGGGACAGAGGGGCCCTGCAACATCCCGAGGTGTGATCTTGGCCCCATCTGCGAATTATCATCGAATCCTTTGATATCTGTGATGTCATGTGAAAATCCAGGGCTTACCACCACCCTGAAGAGTGGGAGTGGGCGTATGTGACATTCGACGAGCAAAGTCCCTATAGCTGTGCCTCCCTCAAGGTCACAGAGCTAGTCGATACATTTAAAAGTGTGCAAAGCCCTCCGTGATCTGGATCCTTGCTACCTCCCCATCATCTCCTACCTCTCTTGCTGCCTTTGGAGTCTATGAGAGCTTATTCTAAGTTATGTGCACTTTGTGAAGCTAACAGTGTGGCTTCACAGCTCTAAAAACTCTTAGTCATCCCTCAAGGCTCAATTGGAGCCTTGCTCCTGGGAAAAACCTCCCCGGGTGATGGCTCATCTCTGTCCCTCATGCACATTACCTCCTGGCTAGTGCTGCTCACAGAACTGCAGTGAATCGTCTCTATGTCTGCTTCTCTTTCCACATCAGTAGGTGCTTTTCATCTTGGAGTCCCTAGCGCTTGGCACAGAGCCTAGAAATTACAGGGGCTCGATAAATACCTGCTGGATGACTGAAGGCCTCCTGGAGAAAAGCTGACCTAAATACAGATTTAAAGAAGAATAGAATGAGCACTGCTAATAATTTAACCTATGTACAATTTGTAAATATATTACCTTGCTTCATAAGAATGTAGATAATGGTTTTAAAAAATCTAGTGATATCATAGTTATAGACCTGTAGTTTTATTCTAGTTAGAAAGAGAGCCAGAACCTGCTCTCCAGATTCTTAAACTCTTAGCTTAGAGCTTCTTGTATGCAATACTGTGTGTATAGGTTGTGAAATGATCTTTAAGTTTGAGGGTCTAGTTCTAGAGAGACCTTTTAAAAAAATAATAAAAATATTATTTTACATTTCCATAGGATGTATTACTTAACTTTCCCCCCCACAGTCCAGTGTTCTGCTCATGTTCTGGAAACTGATCACATCACACTGGGCATATAAGTTTGTGCTTAATTGGCATTAAAATGAAACGGTATTATAAAAATTATACATGTATATATAATGAAAAGCAGTATTTCCTGAAAAGCCATAATGCATTCTGTATCTTAGGGAGACCTAACCAGAGAAAGCTCCTACAGTTTTGTTTTTTTAAGATTTTATTTATTTATTTGAGAGAGAGAGCGAAAGTGAGAGAGAGAGATTGAGAGAATGTGTGGGGGTAGGGGCAGAGGGAGAAGCAGACTTCCCGCTGAGCAGGGAGCCTGAGTGGGGCTCGATCCCAGGACCCTGAGATCACGACCTGAGCCGAAGGCAGACGCTTAACCGACTGAGCCACCCAGGCGTCCTAAGCCCCTACAGTTTCTTATAGGTGTTCAACACAGGACACATCCCCCTGGGGGTCTCCTCTAATGTCAGTGACTAGCAGCTCTGAAATGGTGGGTATGAAAGTTAGAATCACTTATTCTCCTACAAAGAAAGAGATAAATGTCACATGCCCATCCCAGCTTATGGCCACAGTTAGCTCAAAGGAGATATAAGACTGTTCCAAGAGCAATTGGATTTGTAAGTGCTGGGAAGGAAGGAGCCATGTGAAAAAAGTGTCAAAAGGAAGCTTTGTGGAGGCATAAAAATAAAGTTCCCCTCATTACATCCCAGATTGTAGAGCCAAGTGTATTCACACACTCTTGTAAGTGGGTTTGGCCAAACCTTGGAACCGTCTAACTAAGCTCTAAGTGAATGAGGAATGATCTCTGGTAGAGTTCTTAGGGTCTGACAAAGCAATAATTAGGGAGGAAAGTTTGGAAATTAAAGGAAACCACAGCCTAGCTCTGGGTCATCTCCATCGTTAGTTAGTCCAGGCATTACAAAAACAGGCAAGCCAGAGAGCCAACAGATGTCATTAGCCTAGTTCTTGGCAAGCACTTATCAGGCAAAGAATATAAGCTGAGCTTTTTTTTCCCCAGGGAGGTATTCCATTTGTCAGCAATTTCTCTCTGCCAGACCACAAATCAACAATTGCTAGATAAATGAAATGCTTCCACTCAACTTACAAACTCTTGGGTAAAGTATTTATTTTCTAGAAACAAAAATGCCTTTTTTATAGCACAAGATATAAATGGTCCCAGTGGGTCCCACTAAAGCAATCAAATGCCAGATCTATAAATCTTATAGACCCTTATGGAAAATGGAAGCGGCTCTGTTAGGCATCACAATGAATGATGCTATAGGTTCACAGAGAAAATGGCAGAATAGGTCATAGCTAATAGGTCAGTGACAGACTGAACCCATTGCTGTGGTAATGGTAAGGGAAATTCAGTGTAACAATAGCTTACGACATATTTTATGAAGACATTTGTTTTGAAGACTTTGAAGACTTTGGATTATATATTTTTTGAATTATGCTGCAGTATAATTTGACATGAGATATACTATCATATATAATGATCAGGAGACATTCAAATGTGGAAAGAAATGTGACTGTGGCCTAACACATAGTCTAGGCTCTCTGTGTCTCTCCTTCACATTTCTTCCTTCCTGCTGTGTGTGTGTGTGTGTGTGTGTGTGCTTGCTTTGTTAAAGCCCCTCCTTGCTTCTTTCATCTTTCCCTTCCCATGTATCTGCCTCCCCTGTATTTTTGCATGAGCTCTTTCCAGCTTCTAGAAGACTAGTTAGTATTTGTATACACTATATTTAAAAAATTTAAAACGTAAGGAATGGTGATTCCATAAGCAGCATCTAC